AGAGCCGGGCCGTGCGGCCCTGTCCCGCGTGGGGCTCCCGTCCCGCGGGGCGCTGCCGCGTTCACCTGCGCGCCGGAACGCCGTTATGGCCTCCGCGACGGCCGCCTTCAGGTTGAAGGCACCCGCCTGGGCGCCGTGCCACAGCATGGCGAACTCTCCGGACACGTGGTACACGGCCAGCGGGTGGGTGGGATGCTGGGGACAACAGCGAGGAGATCAGCAAGATCATGGAGAACAACCTGCTCACATCCGCGGAGAGAAAGCTGCATTCCCTCCGCTTTGGGGATCCCAAATCCGCATCTCTTCTCCCCCTCCTCCTACTCTCTGGGGATACTCGGTGCCCTCATTGATGAGCAGAGAAGCACCCGGGTCTTACTCGGGCCTTGACATCCCTCACGAGGTCCAGGTAGGGCATCCCAGGCTTCACCATCAGCATATCTGCTCCCTCGCGCACGTCGCGGTCCTGGGAGGAGAACACAAACTCCTGAGCCCTGCGACAAAGCTGCAGGCGACGCGTCTCGCCCTGTCCCCGTGCAAGAGTTTTCCTGTCCCAATGAGCAGGGCTCCTGGGCACAGCTGCCAGGCGCCGGCCCCGCTCGCTCAGCACGGAGAGGCCTCACTCACCACGGCTCGCATGGCCAGGCCCCTGGCACCCGGGGGCAGCTGGTAGCAGCGCCTGTCCCCGAACGCAGGCTTGGATAACGCAGCATCTCTGGGAACAAGACGGTGGGCAGGAAATCAGCAAAGCATCTGCATGGCTCCCTGCGCCTCCCAGCCCTCAGGAGCACGAGGATGGGCTGGAACAACTGTGTGTGTTGCTGCTTCCTCCCATCAAGCCAGGGTGGGATATGCTGTCCCAACCTGCCTTCCCCCTTGCATTGCCCTGAGCCACCGCAAACCCAGGGGGTCCATCAGGCCCAAGTTGTCCCACGCCAGCTGCCCCACCATGCAAAAGGTGATTCACAGCAGGAGCAGAGGAGGCTCTGGGCTGGGCCCTGTTCCCTGCTATCCAGCTGGGGACAAACCTCCTGGCCAGCCAGGTGCTGTGCTGATGCTCCTTGCAAAGGAACTCACCTGAAGGGACCATAAAAACAGGATGCAAACTTGGCGCTATAGCTCATCACCGAGACCTGCAGAGGACAGCAAGGACCAGAGGTGCTTTGTTGTGTCCCAGCTGTAGCAAGAGGTGTCACCTCCCACCACTGCTTGGTACTCGGCCCCATGTGCTTCTTGCCCTGTAGGAGGCCTCGTACCCCATGTGTCTGGCCAAGGGTTCCCCTTTCCCGCATGCCCTGGTGCAGGGAACATCCTGCAACACATCCTGGGGGAAGGTGGAGCCGTCTTCCAGGGTTTGTTCCAGTCACTCAGCAGTGCAGCCTCCATATGGGCCCCACAGAAGTTGTGCCTGATTTTAGCGCACGCAGATCCTCTGCTCACCTTGTTGCCCATGTCGTTGGAGATCAGCGCCTTCTTTATGGCCGCGACGCGCCCGTCCATCATATCTGAGGGGGCAACGATGTGGCAGCCTGCAGGGAGAGACCAGAGACACCCATGAGGCCGCAGCAGCACCAAGAGCCCAAGCTCACTCTGACAAGTACCGTTCAGCAGACCCGCAGAAATCCACCGTTCCTGCAGGAGGTGACCCCAGAGCCTCTCCCCTCAGCGTGCCGAGGGGCTGGCTCTGGGATGTCTGCAACTGTGCCAGGGCCAGTACCCTGAGGGCTGGCACAGCCCTTGCCAGCTCAGAGCACAAGCATTCCCAGCTCGAGCTGGGCATTGTTTGCTTTTGGGTCTGCGGTAAGCAGAAAGGGGAAAATTTGCAGGAGTCAAACTTGGAGACTGCTGCCAGGAGACTCCTCACCTGCCTTGGCGTAAGCCAGTGACACTTCTGCTAGCCGCTGGCAACTGAGTTCGTTCTGGATGGTGCCATCTTCACGCAGGATACCTAGGGGACAACAGCATTAAGCGGCATAGAGGCCAGCCTGCCTCCTGCCACTGTCCCTAGGTTGGGAGCATGGCCCTCAGGGCTGGTCACACACGTCCAGAGAGAGATGCAGAGAGGCTCTGGGAACTGTGCTAGCTGTGTAAAGAGGTGCAGTGACAGGAGACCAACGTCACTGCACTCCAGGGACCAAATTCAACACATGCTGCACTAGGAAGAGAAGAGTGGGGTCTAGATGGGTGCTTAGGTGACACTCAACTGACCAAGGAGCAGGTGACGCTGCTTCTCCCATTACTGCAGGTGCCTTAACATCTGTACCCCCCACTCTAGCTGGCTACTCTCATAACTCAGAAGGCTCCTCCGAGCTCAGCACAACTGCACCCAGTCAAGCCCAAGTCAGCTCAGGGAAGGAGCTGGTCAGACCCACCAGCACCCATTGCTCCTGCAGAAAGGTGTGTGAATAACCCCCCAGGGGCCCACGCTGCGCGCTCACCACAGTGCCCATGGGACGTGTACGGGCACAGGCAGACATCGCACGCAACGAGCAGCTCCGGGAAGGTGGAGCGGATCTTTTTGATTGCCTGGATGGCAGGGGTGTCCTCTGCATCCGCAGCAGAGCCTCTCGCATCCTATGAGAAGAGACATGGCTCTGCACACAGAGCCAAGGGCTTCCTGTGCCCTTTCTACACCAGCCCCTCTGTGGCAGAAATGTTTTATCCTTAAGAAATGTTTTCTGAACTGTAAGACTCTCTTGGTGTAGAGTAGTGTGATCCTCAATGATGAAAAAGAGCAGTGGAGCTTCTGGTAATGACTGCAAGTCTCGAGACCAGTTGGTAACAGTTCCCAGTTCAAGACTACATCAGGTGAAACAATCCTCTGACGTGATGCCTCCTGCTTTCTGTATCACAGAGCTCCTCTGTTCTCCAGCAAGCGGTGATGCACCAGGTGTTCAAAGACACAGAGAAGACACCCAGAGCCACCAGGAGCCTTATAGATGTCACTGCAGTCTCCCTTTCCTGTCCCACTCTGCTGAACACAAGCGTGCCCAGACTTGTGAACCTCCGTGTTTGGCCAGGAGACTCCCTGGGCCTGACATAGCTCTCCTGCACCTCTGTGGCTACCCCAGACCTGCTCCCACCACCTGCCAACACGCACTGACCTTGGGGACCTTGCTGGGCACCCCGAAGATGAGCACACACTTCAGGCCGTCCTCGACGAGGGGGTGCAGCATCCCCTCCAGCTTGTTGATTCCATACCTAGGAAGGGCAGAGTGAAGCGGGGCTGAAGCCACCTGGGCCCACTCTCCTGGCCCGAGCTTCAGCCTGGCTCCCAGAGCTCCCTGGAGACCCTAGAGCGGAGCTATGGAGCAGGGGATTCTCTGACACGGGGACCGGGATGTTGAGCCCAGCACTGCCACGTTCTGCTCTCCTCAGCGCTGTGTTCGGATCCAGCTTCCCGGATGGACCGGGCAGTGCAGAGCCCCAGCCGGGCCCAGCTCCAGGCTGCCAGCGAGCAGGATCCAGAGGCAGCGCAGAGGCCGCTGCTCTCCGGGGAGGTTTCAAAAGCTCTCACATGCTTCAGCTTTGGGACTGGCTCCTGGCACGGCCCCAGCTATCGGGACTCCTGTCTGGCTGCTTGGAGCAGCAGCCCGGCGAGAACAGTGCGAATCCATCCAGGTCAAACACCCAACGCGCCGACCCGAGCGCTGCTCGGGCAGCCAGGCAGTCGCTGGCAGGGCTGCTCAGAGAGGGTCCTCGGTTCATCATTAACCCAGATGCCAGTCTGTAAGCACCAAGAATCAGCTGGAGAAACAGAGGTGCTGCCTGAACCCTGGGAGGAACAATCCCGGGTCTTATCTGGGGCTGCAGAAGGGTTATTTACTGGGCAGGGACGCAGAGGGGGCTGGGCTCTGTCTCTGCACCCTATTCTTGGATCCCTTATCTCAGCTCTCCCGCTCCAGCCCCGAACAAGCCACGCTGGGGCTGCGCTGGGGTGCAGGATGAGGTGCTAGCGCGGCCCCGGCGCCGCGCGCTCTGCTTGCACAACTGGGGCGAGCGGGGCCAAGCACCGAGGTGCCGGGCACAGCACCCCTGGCCGTGAGGTCTCTCGCCTGGCTTAGCTGGGGGCTGCGGGTGCCCCTCCTGCTCTACCTCCTGCCACCCAAAAGCAAAGGCAGAGATGTTCCTTGGAAAAGCTGCCCTATGCAAGGGAGATTCAAACCCACCGCCCCACAGGAATATCCTCCTCTGGCTCCTCTGACCAGGAGCCTAATGCAGCAGCAGATGCAGACAGGATCTGCCAGCCCCATGAGGCACCCGGCAGGACAAGAGCCCGTGCGTTTGTGCGGGTTTTGCAGCTGCTCCTGGAATCCCTGGAAATGCTCTGCCAACCTCTCCGCGTGCCCAGCCCCTCCAACGTGCGAGTGCTCTGGGGCAGTGCGGGATCATGCTACGATCCCAACCAACGCCTGGTCCTGGCAGCCTGGTCGCTGTGGTGCCCAGCCCTCTCTCCATAGGTGAATGCTCCTATCCTGCCCAACTCTGCAGGATCTCCAAGCTGCAGAATCCAGAGGGATGGAAGTGTCACCCCATGGCCCTGGCCTGGGCTCGTTGCTGGCCGTACATCCACCTCGTTTGTGGCACGAGGCATGGCCGAGAGCCTGGTGTCCTACCTGGCTTGCCCAGGGAGGCTGGCGATCGGCTCCACCGCATCAGGGCTGTCACTGCGGAAGGTGGATGGGACAGAGAGGTGAGGACAAAGAAGAGTAGAGGTAAATTGTGCCCAAACGATCCAGCCCTGGCCCCGAGGGCACCACCACAGGCCCTAGTCTGCTCCCAGGGAATCCTTCAGGGAGCCTGAAAAGCTCCCCGGGAGCTCAGGGGGTACCCAGGTCTGCAGCCCCAAGCGCAGCCCGAGTTCAATTTATCCCTGGCCTGCAGAGCCAGGGCTCACTCACGTGACAAAAATTGGATAGATGAGGTTGGAAGCATCGAAGGCGGTTGCAGAGCACTGCCAGGAGCGCAGCACGGGGTGGAAGTAGCCACTGTGGAGAAGGGACTCTGCCTCCATCCTGGGAATTCAGCGGAGACTGCAAAGTAGAGCCTGAAATACCAAAGGAGGCAGGTTGGTGGCTGTGTCCTGGCAAGTCACCGCTAGCCATCGGCACGGGGAAGGGGTACAGATGCCTTGGGCAGCCACAAACATCGGCCGATAGCAGGACCCACGTTCAGAAGCGCTCTGCAGCCCCCCGGGCTCAGCCCCCCGCACGAGGGCACAGAGCAGCCCAGACCAGCAAGGAGAAGCCCCACGGTCAGCCCAGGGCAGCTGCTGCTCGCGGGAAAAAACTCCTTCCTGGCTCTGTGCACGCTTGGGCCAAACACCTCCTGCCTTGGCACACGCCGCTCTGACACCGGCTGGCTCCTCTTCTGTCGAGTGCAGGGAAATGAGCTCCGCTGTCCCCTAATGCAGTGAGTACAGCACGGCCTTTGCTACCACCACGCCACGGACTTTGTACCAGCCTTGCAAGGCCTCAGGACTTGCCTGGCTTTGTTTTAGCTTGTTCAGGTGTAACAGCAATTTTCTAAATATGAGATGAGGTGGCCATGGCTTAATTTGTATTGCTTAATTGCATAATTCTGTGATACAAGCATAACTTTTACATGTACAGCAGTAGTGCTCAGTGCAGAATGAAATATTTATGGCTGTAGTGTAGTGGTGCAATCACAGAAGAGAATGGGAGAAGAGGATGATCCCGAAGACATCAGACCTATAAACACCTCACTCCTGTTCATGTGCTGACGGATAAAGAAATGCAAATTGGGGGTTGGACGTAACAATGAACAATTACTCAAAATACACAAACCACATCACATACAGTAAGTTTGGACACAACCAAGAATTACATGCATATGAAGAAAGAGCAAGGCACCGAGCGTTTTGGAAAACATATCAAAATAGCCCCAAGGGGGCTTTAAAGCAAGGAGGGAGAAGCAATCAACACCATGCTGTTCCTGGCAAAAAGGAGGAGAAACCCTGCACTGGCAACCTCCACTCCAGCAGGACTCGCTGTAGAACTGCCTGTCGCTGGAACAGGCTTTAGGACTGAGGTGGGCAATGAAAGGCAGGGGCACAGGGAGAGGTGGGTATGAGCAGGCAAATGGATAACAACTTTAGCTATATTTGTGTTGAAACCTCCTAAAGTGTTTTCTTTTTCTGTAATACCTAGACATGGCTAATATTAATTCTCTGATGAGACAGGTAAGACTTCAATTTCACTAAGAGCAAGTTCTTGCTTTGTTTACAAGGAGCGCTCCCTTTTGGCAATAACAAAATTCGGGGTGTAACACTCGGTTGGCAGAAGGGCCTGCAGGGAAGGCTGCACTTTCACCTGGCAGCAGGCACGTGGCTGCAGCGCAGCAGCAATTATGGCCCTGCAAACCACAACCAGAAAACAGGCTGTTTATTCAGAGCCGCTTCAAGGACTTCTGCCCCTGCTCCATCTGCTCCGTCTCGGCAGCTGCGACCCAGCGACTCCGGCCTCCTCGCCGCTTGTTCCCAGGATTGCCACTTGTGGCACCACAGGATTTAGTGCCTGTGGATGAGCGTTTGGCACAGAGCGGTGGAGCTGCCGTGGGAGCGCACGGAGCCCAGCCAGCTCCCAGGCCGAGCACAGAGCGTTTTCCAACGCCGTGAGCATGCATCTTCCTCTGGGGTCTGAGGACTGTCCTCCAGAAAGGAAGAACAAAGTCCTTAGTGGACATTGATCGAGAGCTGAGGTGAAGGTGGGGAAGAGCTCGTGATTCACTTCTGAAAGAAGCGATTTCGCAGCCCAGTGACCCCTGGTTCCCAATCCTAATCACAGCTTTCCCATGCACTGGCTTAAATCCAAGAACCAGGAGTGAGTCCTGCAGTGATCCAAACCCTGCTGCCCCCTCGGCCTGCATCCCGCTTGCTCTGGAGCACAGAACCCCCTGTTAGCTTTCTAGGAGCACAGTCCAGAGAAGAGTTTGATGCTGACGCTCACTACACCAGGCAGCAACGGACTTGCACAGGAGAAGGCTCCAGTCTTCTTGAAAGCCTTCAGATGTTTTGCAGGGGGATAAGCTCATAACCTTTCAAACTACGTCAATGTTAATCCTAATGGTCGGCCCGCATCCGACTAGCGCAATGCTGTGGGCATTCACCCAGGATGTAGGAGCACCACATTTGATCCAGGGATGGAACTGAGTCGATTGCTTCCCTAGCAGCTTCCTGGGGCTAGATGGCTCAATGACTTAGTATTTATATAATTATTTATATATAAATAAATGCTGAACGGTCCCATTGACCAAGTGTGCTGGTGCTCACATGGGAGCCGGTGCCTGTCACACTGACAGTGTCACTGCATCACGTAGGGAAGCATTTTTAGATCTGGAAAGCTGCCCTGCCACCCTCCTTCCTCTCAGCAAGGAGAGTCCCATCCACTCTGGCTGGGACAGCAGCATGGGGAGCTGCCCGCGCCAGCGCAAACAAAGTGTTCAGTGAGCCAAATGCACCTCGAGAATCTGGAAAATGCTTTCATGGTTAATCCCAGAGGAGGAAGGAGAGAGGGACGGTGCGGGGGAGTCGGAGGCAGCCGGCTGCAATTGCTCTGTGAGGGACAGAGAGAGGCTGCAGCTCCGGAAACGAAATTCTGAGCGGGGAGAAGAGGGGACGGTCCCTCAGGAGAGGTGCAGAGCGGAGATAGCGGGGCGTTGGGTGGGCCCACGGCACCCGTCCCGCGCCACTTGGGCTCTCTTCGGAGGCCTCCTCGCTCGCACAAGACGCTGCCTGCAGCTGCAGCCTACGCTGAGGACCTGGCAGACGTGGACACAGTGTCAGAAGGGGACACCAAGTCCTCAGCATGACAGAGCCACTGCAGGCCCAAGCACGACTGCGGCCATGCAAAAGGGTGACAGCAGCAAAGCCAGGGACGAGGGGCCCATCCAAGCAAGGACGTATCGCGGGCGTTATCTCCTCAGCCACAACTGATGGCTGCGCTGGGGGCAAGTCCCCGAGGCCCCGCCACGGCCCCACAGCAGAGTCTGCTTTCTCTGGCCCCAGATATGCCTTTCCAAGGCCACCTGCTTCACACATGTGAGGCTAAGCGACCTGAGAGGCTGCTGGGTGGCTGCCTCCCTCCAGAGCACTAATAAATACATGGTTCAGAACAACTCGTGCAGCCCTCCCTCAAGAGCAAAAGGCTCCGTAAATATTTTGGCTGGAACTGCTTGGAACCGGCCCAAACACACAGGACCCAGAGCAGCTCCTTGGTTCATCCCCAGCCCCCAAAGGGGAAGCAATCAGTTGTATCGCTGTGTTTAGCTACGGCGTGGAATACACGAGGAAAGAGAAGTTGTTGCGAAAGTGGGCTCCCGCGCAAGCTTCGCAGGAGACAAACGGGACAGATCAGTAATTTAGGTCGGTAACGAAGGGAGGGGGTCACCGATGATTTCAGCTGTCCCGTTACCCCGCAGCATCCCCCCTGGCAGCCGGCAGGGCTCCAGGACCGACTCCTAACGGGGCCACGGGAGCATCGCACA